GACGCCCGTCCGCCTCCCCCCGCCGACCAAGTGGGGTGCCCTGGCTCCCGTTGGAGACAGCCCGCGCCGCGACGCGCCTCCTCTCGGCGGAGGTCGGGGACAGCCCCGCCGGCCCCCCGCCATCGCGGCCGCGCCTGTCCCGGGAGCGCACGGCAGTATGACTAGTGTGGACACGCATTGTCACGGCGTCCTGTGCGGCTTGCCTCTGGGATGCGCAGACACAAGTGTTCACACCGGTAACTTACGATATTGTGAACTGACGCGCACGATGGCAGCATCTTTGGCTACTTGCCTTTTTGGATGCGCACACATCATTAAAACACACACACTGTTAACTTACGACACTGGTAACCCACACACATTATGACAGCATCTTTTGATGCTTTCCTTTTTTGATACACACACTGTTAACACATTATTAACGTGCACATTATGACAGTATCTTTTGATGCTTTCCATGTTGGGTGCAGCCATTTCTGCCTGCCCCCTCACAGAGAGGTGGGCCTGCCTTAGGGCCATAGGTGTTCCTGGACCAGGGACAGAGTTGGGATAAGCTTTCAAATGAAAGACGTTCTTCCTGCAGGACATTGGCCACTGCGGTGCCCCTGCGTTTCCTGTGGCAGGTCCAGCTGTTAGGTCTGTGTTGCGTCAGGGTTGACCGTAGTCTGATGTACAGAGTTCAGATGATGGGTTGTATGGGACTGGATAGGGATGATTCTGCCTCAGGCAGGGGGTTGGACTAGATAACCTTTGGAGGCTCTTCCAGCCCTACGATTCCTCAGCCACATACATAGGCGAACAAAAATTCCTAAATCCCTACTAAAGCAAGGCACTGCCCTGCAGAGGAGCCAAGTATGTGGGGGGCCAAAGGGCCCTGGCCCCCAGTCAAGAAGAGGGCTATCACTTGAAATGCATAAAACCTTCCAAATGTCCATCATCTTAGGCCCCCCTGCAAACATAACAGTTGGTGCCTTTGCTCCCCTGCATCAACATAAGAAACACTGCATACAGTTTAGTCCTGTAGCTGCGTGCAGTCAGGAGGTGTGCAGATGATGCAACAGGGCTGCAATGATGAGGGTAGTACAGAATAGGTTCCCCAGAGGAGTGGGGGTGAAAGGTGGATGCCTGCTGGCTGAACCGTATGTGCATAGCACTTAATGAGGCATTAGTATTTTTAGACAGTTTCTTCTAATATGAGTAACAGTCATGAGACATGTTTTCATTAGGTTTTGAACAGGGCCTGCAGAACTGGACTGTCCAAAACCAAATGACTGCCAAAACTGGTTGGGACAGGGAGCTAGTAATTTAATATATTTATTTGCTTCTGCAAATGCAGCCTTTGTTTAAAAAAACCCAAAACAGCAAACAAGCTTATCTGCTTCTGTCCACTCGTTTCGAAATTACTGTGGTTGACACAGGCAAAAACATGAGTTGAAATAAATCAAATGCATGAACCAGCAAAGTCAGGCTGACACAAGTGCGCTATTTAAAAATGAACTCTGTGAATCCTGATTCTTGTTACTTGTTTTACAGTCTTCATTATTTGAACACAGCTTTAACACAGCTTCATCTTTTTTACTCTTGAAGAAAAAGCATTAACAAATTTGGTAGTTTGGTTTGTGTATGTGCAGAATGAGTAGGTAGCCATATATATGGTAAACACTTAAAAACTCAGTGTACCGTAAGCATCTCATGGTTGTAAGTTCTATTTTTTCCCTTTCTGTCTTTAAAAGGGCTGTTTCCTTTCTTGGTGGCAGGGAGTGGGAGGTTAGGTTTTGATCCTTTCGGTTGGCTGGCGGGGTGGGGAGGGGGAGCAGTGTGTGCATATGGCTAAATTAACATTTTGGTTAACTTGACCTTGTATCAGCTAATTAAAGGAACCCTGTTCCCCAGCTATATCTGTACAGTTCAATTTTTCATTTGATATCCAGATTTTTTTTCACTTTAATCAAAATATTCAGGTTTTTTATAAATGCAAAATACTGCTATATTGGTAACATTTTGCTATATTGATAAAAGAGTCTGGTTTAGGTGCTTGCCCTTATATGCTGCACTAATAACATTTAAGGGCTGCTAAAGGTGCCATGATTCCCTTGGTGAAGAGCAGTTTATGATCATTCAGCCAGAAGGAACCTCACAAGTTCATTTAGTCTAGCCCCCTGTTCAAGCCAGGATCATCCCTGACTAAACCATCCCAGCTAAGTGTATGCCTAATCTGTTTTTCAAAATTTCCAGGATAGAGATTCCACATTTCTCTAAGTAGCCTGTTCCAAAGTTTGACCACCAGTCAGAAAGTTCCTCCTAATTTCCAACCTATATTTCCTTTGCTGCAGCTTGAGGCCATTGCTCCTAGTCCTGCCTCTTATGGCCACAGTGAAAAGTCCATTTCCCTCCTTTCTATAATCACCCTTCAGGTATTTGAAGACTGGTATCAAATCCTGCCTGCCCAGTTTTTTATATCCCAGACCAAACAATCCTAGTTCTTTTAGCCTTTTCTCATAAATCATGTTTTTCAGGCCTGTAATCATTTTTTTTGTTTGCCATTGGGCTCTTTCCAATGTCCACATCCTTCTTGAACTGTGGGGCCTAAAAAGTAGGCTAGGTGGGGTCGCATCAGTGCTGAATAGTTAAAGAATCTGTTCCCTTGATTTGCATATGAGGAAGGACTAAGGGATCTAGGACTGTACCACCTGGGGAAGAGAAGACTGAGGGGAAACTTGGTGGTTGTCTGTCAGTGGGTAAAGGGTGAATATTGGGAGCTGGGAGAAAAAGTGTTCACTACTGTGCCCGGGGCGGGGGGAGGCGCAGGGAACAGGACAAGGAACAATGGCCATAAATTGTTAGAGGATGGTTTCAAGTTGGATGTAAGGAAGAACTTCTTTACGGTAAGAGTGACCGGAATCTGGAATAGACTTCACAAGGAGTGGGTGCAGTCCCCAACCTTGGAAGTCTTCAAGAGAAGACTGGACAGACACCTTGCTGGGAACATTTGATTTCAGCAGTATTCCTGCCCAGAGCAGGGGGGTTGCATTCTATGATCTTTTGAGGTCCTTTCCAGCCCTTAATTTCTATGATTCTATGAAAGAAGGTGAAGCTAGACTGTTTTTCTCAGTGGTGGGAGATGACAGAACAAGAAGCAATCATCTCAAGCTGCAGAAAGGGAAGTTTAGGTTAGATATTAGGAAAAACCTTCTTACAAAGAGGACAGTAAAGGACTGGAACAGGTTACGCAGAGAGGTTGTGGAGTCTCCATCCTTGGAGGCTTTTAAGAACTGGCTAGACAAAGCCTTGGCTGGAATGATATAGTTGGGGGCTCCTGCTTTGAGCAGGGTGTTGGACTAGATGACCTCCTGAGGTCCCTTCCAACCCTAATTTTCAATGATACTGTGATTCTATGATTCCTCAATTTTATTAGGACCTCCAATTTCTCCACAGCAAGACCTCCAAAGCATGGTTCTTTGCTTCTTTCAGTTACTAGTACAGGGAGTGTGCCTTGTTAGGACAGGACCTATCATGGATACAGTGGCAACGCATAGGGGTGCACGGGGGTTTGGCAGTGGGATTAGCTGCCGGGGGACTGAGATCAGTCTGACTGGTGTCTGTTCTCTGTGCCTCTGGGTCCCTGGCTCTGGGCCAGCCCTTAGTCCCTGACCCCAGGCTGGACTGCTGTCACTGTCTCTGCCCTTAGCCCTCTGGTTCTTGACCCAGGCTAGGCTGCTTGCCTCTCTAACCTTCAGCCATATGGTTTCCAGAGCCTGGGCTAAGCTGGCCAATGATGAGTGCCCTACCAGGCACCCCTCCATGGTCTCCAGACCTTCCCCCTAGTCACAACCTGGCCCTCCAGTCTAAAGCGTAATTCACAACACAGAAGCCTTGCTTCACAACAAAAGAATCTATTCTATCCAGCTCTGGGATATTACCTTTCTACAGGGCTAGCAACTCCCTTTTGTTCTCTCCAGGCAGCTCCAGGGAATAACTCAGGTGCCTGTTAGTCCATTTGCTTCAGGCATCTCCCTCGGGAGCTCCTCACCCTTCAGTGTGAAGGGCCAGACTGCCTTCTCTGTCTCAGGCCCTGTGTTTATATGCCTGGAAGCCATGCCCCCTTTTTGGTTACTTGCCTTCCCCAGCTCTGCACAGGGTTTTCCTTGTCAATCAAGGGCCAGCTTGCCTTCCTGCAGCTGTGGTCCTACACAGCCAGCTGAGCCTGCCACAGTTCCCTCTCCTTGCCCTTCCTTATACTCAGGTAACAGGGTCTGGGTATCTACTGTTACAGGAACATTTCTAGCATGTTGAGTTTTACTGAGATTTTTAGAACAAGGCATGCTACAGAACAGCCCATAGACAGCCTAGAAAAAGTTACCAAGAAGTACAACCCCCCTCTGCTAATTTTAGGGTTTTTGTGATTTACATGGGAAATACTGGCTTCCACATGGCCCAGAATTCAATTGATTGAAAGGTTTTTTTAAAGCCATCTTTGCTTCCTCTGTCCCCAGGTTATGCCTTTTGTACTGCACATTCTATGAGATTTTAGCAGGAAGTTTTCCAAGTGTTGTGCATAGTAAACTGATGTACATACATTTTGGGCATGTCCACAGGTGCATTTAGTCTCAACTAGAATTACTGCACAGTACGCTACTGCACAGTAAGTGATTTTGGCTAAGTGTCTACACATGCAGGGCCCTGGCACTAAATTTAGTGCCAGGTCCCTCCAACTCTGCCATGTGCTCTTGTGGCCACCAGGGGGAGCAGCAGCCTCTGGCCCCTACTGTCATCACTTG